CACCCTTGATGGATTTATCTTCAATAATTTATCTCATTTATTGAGTGAGATAAACTCCACACCCACAACATCCGGTGGCGATGGGTTCTCACTTTAACGTGCAGCACGAGTACTTCCTCATGTCTGTCCTGACACACTCTTATTCTGTCTGGCTCCTGGACTACAAGAAACAGCGAAGAGTCATTCCCTATTCACACTTACACTGAATTAATCAGTTTTACATAGCTTTTTCACATACTGCTTCAGCTGTTTTTCTCCAGGTTAAAAACTTGTAGTCATTTTCTTATTCTTCTTATTAAGAAAAACCATCACTAACTATATGCTGGCTGACTTTTCCTCTATCAGTCTGGTGCTATAAGATGACCAAACTTCTGCTGTTCACCTGCAATCTCTCTAGTCATCCAAGTCTAATTTGTGGGCCCTTGATAGCTAGCATCAAATAGCTCTTCCACTGCACCCTGGTATTCAATTTGCTTGAATGTATATGGAAAATAAATAAGCATTACAAAGAAAACAGCAGCAAAGTTGCTAGAGTCCAGTGAAAGACAGGGCACACAAAACCACGGGACACTATAAATAGGGAGACTTGGTTGAGCAGGTTCAGGAACTGTCTCATTGCTCTTGAAAGAGTATGAGGACTTAACATTAGATAATACAGTAATTCCTAATTTTATAGCAGGAACATCACAAACTAGCTTCAACTCCAGATAAAAATTCAATCTAACACAAGAGATTAGACTAGCAAAAATCACTGACAGGGAAATTATAAATGGCATTCATATCTCTTTCGTCAGTTATCCCATATTTTCTAATCTTTAAGGCACAGGCAGCACAAAAGCACTATTACCTTCACAAAGATATTAGGGCTTAAAAGGAATAGGCTTTGGAGGAAGTCTTGCACTAACAGTATCACCAAAACTGTACTGTGATGGTATAACAGCCACATAATCTCTCTGGCATCAGTGAGATTTTATAAATGTGGCTGTGATACCAGGTATCTACATTTACATTTTAGGACTTCCGAACCAGTACAGCAAGTGTTACATGAAAAATATCAGAAATTCCCAGGGAAGCAATAGCAGGGCCTTCAGAAAGTCCCTGGACAACCACATTCTTTCAATGACACAATGCTTTTCCCACTTCCCCATCCTACATATCTGTTACTTTTATACACATAGGTTTGTTCCAAAGTTTGGAAAAAACACCAACTTTTTATTTTAATTTTTTTATAACAAAAACATTTTTCTCTGCATATAGTTCTCAGATGCATCTCTCTGTATACATATATTCCAAAGGATGACAGGGTACATCTTTAAATGCATGAGTTTCCCAGAGCTGCTAGTTCATGAACCCAAGACATGCAAAATCTTCTGAAGTCAACTTTGACTCAGTTGCTGTGAAAGGTGCAATGGATCATACAGTGGAAAACCAGATGCAGCAATCTAAATTTGCTGTTATTTACATGAACTGTTCTGAAATTTGCTGCTTTCTGGGCCACAAACATTGAGTCAGGATCTGTGACTGAGTTCCCAAGTAAGACCTATCTCCTCCTGCTTGCCACATTAGCTGGGGTCTCCTCATTCTACAGTGCTCACTACTCCACTCAAAGCAAAGCTGGAGGGACAGAGGCAGGAAAAAGCCCATAACATAAACCTATACCCTGTTTTCCCATCAAACTTCTGCCACCAGCAGAAATGAAACTGACTGGCTGCAGCTGACATTCAGAAAAGATATTATGCCTCCCAACTATATGAACAATTAAAAGTAGGTGTGTTCATTAAGCCCAGTTCCTTCTCTCACCCTTACAATATCCACATTAACAGGGACAGCAAAATCAACACAAAGCAGAATTTTTAATACTAAAAATTATTTCAATGTATTCTAACCAATAAAATAATTGATTAACAGAAAAAAAAAATAGAAGCTCTAATGTGAGAAGTTTGGACTTGATGATCTTGGAGGTCTTTTCCAATCTAAATGATTGTGTGATTCTGAGAACTGAAGCAAAAAGAGAAAAGCAGCAACAAGCAAAAGGAGGCAAGGAAACACAAGCTGAGACCTCAGAAGAGGAGCTGAAAAATAATTTATTTTTAGAAGACTTTATTATTATTGATACAAGGTCCTGAGCCTGGAAGCTGCTGGAGAACTCCAGAACCACCTCGTAGCAAAGAATAAACACACAAAAGAGACCCAAGGATAGCCTATCTTTTAAGAGGACAGCAAAAATTTAAAAAAATAAATCATCGGTTCATGCTACAAAAATCCTGTTTCATTCAAGGAAAGCTATCCTTTGATGTGAATTCTGTGCTAAGGAAGGGAAGAATATTCTGCAAGGAATATTCTGAGCAAGAATCCACCTACTAGCATGCCAGGATGACAGTGGAAGAACAGAGGTCAAACAAGCTGGAAAGAAAACATAAATTATATATTTACAAATTAATTTGATTCACAGAAGCCACAGGGCAGTCAACAAACTAGCCAGGGTGACAGAAAGTAAAGGTAACCCTACAGGAAAAAGAGGAGAGGAAATTAGTTGTAGAGAAAAGAGATCTGATAGAAGCAAGCAACCAAAAGAGGATCTGAGAAATCAATGGCCAAAAAGTTAGGGACAGCTGGAATTATAGATAATAAGAACATGGAATCCAGATAATAGTATTCAACCATTACGAGATGAAAGCAGTGAACATGGACAAAATATTCAATAAATTTCTTCCACATTTGTTATGAAAGCTCAGTTATATAGACAAAACAGTTACAGAGTTCATAAGAATTCAAGAAACAAAGCATGTAATTCAGTAATTATTAATTTATCAAACTACGTCCTGTCAAATGAACTGTTCAGATATCTAATGTCAGTTTTGCAATAGTACCTCTATGAATAAACTTTTCAAAAGGTACACAGTCCCACATCACTTTGCCTAATGAATTCTAATACAATGTCAACAAAGTATGCTGTGATCTGGGTCAATAATAGATCTGACAACATAATTGCAATGTCACTCAATAGATATATTTTTCATGGAGTTCTGCAAGAATCACACTGGTCCTGCACAGTATTTTATTAATAACTTGGATGAAAATAAAAGTCTTTGAAAATATGAAGGATTTGAGGTGGGATGTAGAAGATTTGGAAGCAAAAGTTGCTAACATAATGAAGCAGAACTCACTCTCACACTCAGTGCTCATAGAACATTAGAAAAGTACTGTAAAAAAAGACAATGCATGTTCTGAACAGAAAATACGTCACAAAAAACAATCTTGGGAAGAACAAACCGTGACTGAAATGACAGTTTTATAAAATGAAAAGAAGCAAGACTTCTACGGGAGGCCTCATGCTGCCATCTAGAGGAGACTGGTCAGCAGTGGGTTTCAACCTGCTTTTGACAGACTATTTCCATTTACCAGCTAAGTCAAGAGGGGACTATTAAACTTAGATACACAAAGATATAATCGAATCCAATATCTCTGAGACAAAACTACAAGTCCCTTTAATAAACAGATATTTTGGATTTTCCTTCTTTTTCTCTCGTTTATATAAGTCTGTAAGAGAAAACAACCTAAAGACACTACTAGGAAAAACAGTCCTAAGAAGCTCTGTTCAAACTCCACAACTAATTTTTGGTAAAAATTTTCCGAAGATACATGTATATTATGACACACAAAGCATTCAATGTATTACAGTGTAAAGGAAAACTGACTTCAGTGACAAGAAATTACAAGCATGGAGACCTTTCACAAAGCTTGAAAATTCAAGATTTCAGTTACTAGAGACTAAAGGTTATAACTCTTGGGCTTCACATATTTCACGGTTTACTCACTTTGTCTTCTTTACACATTCATTTGTCCTCAGTAAAAATAAATGGAAATGCAGGTAGCAAATATTGCTAACAAAACCTTTCTACCTTTCACTGTAACTCAGGCTCTGCTTAAACTCCATTGAGCAGAACAACGCTGTCTGACATCAAAGCCTACAACTTAAATGAGAAAGCCAATCATCAGCTAATCTTTGCATTTGACTCAGTTTTACATTGTTATACTTTAACTTCTACTCCATCAAATGCTTTACAGTTTTAACAGATGTTAGCACTGAAAGTAAAATAAACTTGAAGAAGTATGTTAAAACAGGCTTAATGATTTGTTAATAAAAAAGCATTAGGCCATCCTAGGTTTGCAGTCAGAAAGATTCTAAAGGTTTATTACTACTTTTTGTTAACCACTGAAAGGAAGGTGAAAGACTTCTAAAATTTTTTGTGTTTTGTGTAGCCCAAGAGTAACTGCAACTAAGGTCTATGTTAGACCAAAATGAAACAGAAAAAAGTAAATATGTCAGTATGTACAGGTAGCATTAAACAACCCCACAATACTCTTGAAATCCTCAAGGCTGGATCAACCTGTTAAAGACAGAGTGCTAAATGTAATGATGAAAGCAGTTCTTTCTTCAAAAAAGCCCAATAAAAATTGGCTGTTTTTCAAATGGGATAGAGGTCACCGTTAATACTCAATGACATCACCTCCTGCCATGATCGAGTGTTAAGAAAAAACACACAAAACAGTTATAGAAGCAGAAAACAGTATGAACACAAAGTGACAGGAGAATCCTACAAACAAGTGAAAGCTTCACTGTAGAGGCAGTGCATGAAGTTTGAGAGAAGTACTGCCACAAGTATTCTAAGGAATGGTTTTAGTATCTGAGTGTGAAATTAAGGAAAGTGATCTGACTTATATAAAGCAACAATAAGTCAGGAACAGAAGTCTACATGCCACTAGATAACACCAGTGACGCACAACCACTTGTTATTTCTGCTGTTTCCCCCATGCAGGTAGGCTACAAGTTGGAGATGTAAGCTCACTTTCTCATCCTGCTTCAGAAGATCACTAACTGTAACTGTCAGACACTTCCCAGATCTGCCAAAACACTTTTCCAACTAAAAATGTACCACAACCACGTTTTAGTGGGAAGATTTGTGATGCAGTCAGTAACATCTGTGTACAGCACTTACATTCATCTAGTCCCAGCTGATAAGCCAAGTTCTGCAGGCCACGAACTTTTTCCATCAGATTAGCTGTAGTGAGGCTCCCCAACTCTAAGAAAAGAGAAAAGTGTACATTTTAATGATGTCTATAGCCTTCTAGTGACAGTTCACCTGTTTAGTACTTCACAGAGCATTTTCAAGCCATACTTCTGACAAGATCTATTTCCAGTGAACAGCAGATGTTCCAAATTCAAGATGACTCTGCCCCTAATTTTAACATACTGAAAAAGGCTCTAGTTCGTGCTCTAATAATCTGCCACTATTGCAAAGAATAACTTGACCCATATTTTGGAAGTTTCTGTAAATTCACATTGCTATATGAACAAGGTACAAAAAAGTATGCAAAGAAACAGACTTATTTTACATCAATAATGTGACTTTAAGCACATATCTTCCAACAAGTCAAAGTTAATTTCACTGTGTAACAGTGACATGTCACTGTGGCGTGATCACACACCACCATCTGGAATTCACATGAGAGGCAGAGCACACTCAAGGGTGTTTACTGCAAACTAACAGCTGCAACATGCAGCAAATCTACATGCTAGCTAGTCCTTCTGTAACTTGCCATACAGCCTTACCATGCCATTAGAGCTGTAGGATCTCTAAGGGAAGACACACATGTTGTGCACCTCTGAACAAGTCAATCAACAAGTCGAAGCTACTCACCAAGTGATCAGCTGAGCCCCTTCAAAAAATTCATGCTACTTCTCAAAATAAGGAGATGCTATACTTATGGAGCAATGAAAATGACTGAGGTAACTCAAATATATGAGACATTACACTGCTTGTTTTGAAATATCAGCCTGCCACTGACATCTGGATACTCTCTTGGAAATAACTGGTTTAATGAAAAATATGTATCATTAACAAGATAGAGACTCCTAAACTGGAAATTCTGCAAATGTGATTGCTAGAGATCTGAGGTCATGGGGCCACCTCCAGAACACTTAAAGAACAAGCGTTTTAAGCCTCCTAATTAAGTACTGAATTTCCATCTGCTTTGGCAACCTCACTTCCTGCTCACAATGTCCATACTCACCCTTCAACATATCAATATCATCGTTTTCTAATTCAGCCATCCACTTGGGAGGAGAACTTGTAATGGGCTGTTTAAGAAACAACAAAAGTTCATATTCAGACAAGCACATTTTTAGAATTATACAAGGAAGTCTGACCTTGTATTGAAAACTAGTTACACTGCCAGTAAAAATATGAGAATTCCGTATGCTCTGTAGAGATATTTTTATGCTTCATCTTGTTTTCTAGCTTTTCCTGGACATTTTAGAGTTAAAAATGGCATACTGGCATCCACAAGCCAAAATCAGTATGAAAAATAGGATTTTCTAAAGCTTAACCTTTTCCTTCTTCCAAATTGCTATTCTCATTCACAGTAAGCTGCACAAGGTATAAAAAAAGATATACATATACAAAAGGTACATTAAAAACAAGAGACTTATTCTAGCATTTACTGGAGTTATAACTGAGATACGGTTTACAGAACGAGGGCGTAAAGCCCGCAAAGAGAACCTGCAGATCTATCACCACATGGACGGGGGTAACGCGAAAGGCAGAGCAGCGCTCACTCACGCTTTTGAAGGAGGCGGCGAACTCGGCAACCCCGGGCACTGGAAGAGAAAGCGGAGGACGGCGGGGGGTGAGCGCCTCTGCGGGGAACACCGCAACCGCGCCTGGCCCCGGCCCGGCCCAAGCAGCTGCCCCAGGAAGCCCCGGGCCGGGCGGAGCGTGGTTGCCACCCCGCCCCGAAGCCGGCAGACTCAGGCGCGCCGACTTTACGTTGCTCAGTGCCACAGGTCCGGGAGCGCGGTCATGTTTCTCGAGTCAGCAGGGCGAGGCCTCCAGGTCGGCGCCTGCAAGACAAAGAGGAGGTGAGTGCGGGGAGGGAGCGGCGCAGGGTACGCCGGAAGCCCTCCCGCCTCACGTCGCGGGAGCCGCCATCCGCGCCCGCCCCGCGTGACTCCCGCCGCGCTCACGTGACGCCACCGCGCCTCCCGGCCGGTTTCCCGCGCTGGGAGGAGAAACAGCCCCGCCCCGGCCCCACGTGCCGCTGCTCGCCGCCGCCGCGGGGGGGCTGCCGCCCCGGCCGGCCCACTCAGGGGCGCCTGCGGCCGCCTCCACAATCCCGCGGCCCGGCACGGGGGGCGGGGGGGCTCGGGGGGCGTGCCGGAGGCCTGTTGTCGGCGATTGCGGCGAAGCCGGTTGCGGGGGGGGGCGGGGCCTCGGCGGGCCGGGGCGGGGGGCGCCGCCGGGGGCCGCGGAGCTGGACCGTGGGCCGGGATGGCGGGCGGCGCGCGGCGCGCGAGTTTGGGGCGGGCGGGCGGAAGTGGCGCCCCAGGGTGAGGCGGCCGCCGCCGGGGCCGGCTGCGGCTCCCGCGGGCTCGTGGGGCGGCAGGGGGTCGCGTCTCCGGGACCGCCTTTGATCTTGTGCTGGAAGAAATGTGCTTAAACTCACGTTATTGATGTAAATAAGTCTGGGCCCGGGACGCCCGGGCGGGGAGCAGTCGATGGGGGCGGGGGTGGGAGCTGTACGGACGCAACGGGAGCCCTGAGGTGGTCTGTGCTTCCCCTTCTGTCCAGCTGCCGCGGAGAGCCGGTGCCCCCTGGACCAGCGCAGTCGCCGCCTCCTTCTCCTCCTCCTCGGTGGTGAGTGCCCGTCCCGCGGGTCGGGGCCGGCGGGGGAAGGGAGGCGCGGGAGAGCCCCGGGCGGGCTCGGGTCTGCCCCTGCCATAGCCGTTTCGTGCCGGCTCGGCGCGCAGCTCGGCTCGGCGCAGCTCCCCAGCCATCCCCGCCCGGTGGCTCCGAGTGGGCATTTCTGGAACGTCGGAACTGCCCCCGCGCTCGACGGGAGGGACGGAAAAAAGTTCCATGAGCGGACTTCGGAGCTGAGCGATGCTCGCCGGGCAGCTCCTGCCGCGGGTCGCGGTGCGGCCGCCTAGGGAGTCACCTCCCCTTACTCCTGGTGGCTCTGGATTGGTCTCATGGCATCTGCGGCAGAGAGAGGATCTGGTTTCCTTGGGGCAGTATCGAACACCTTTAGCTGTTGTAGTGCCTTTTTAGTTCTGCTGTCCGTGGCTGCACACTCTCCAAACTCTGAATAGCTAAACCATGATTCCACAAATAGTCTGTTTTACTGCCGTCCATATACCCACAGCAGAGGCGTTCTCTACATAAAGAAAAGGTGGTGATCTTATGGAAGAAGTGCAATCAATATTAATTCAGCATTTCTTGGCTTGATTAAAATATTTTTTCATTGTATGTGCAATCTTTTCGTTTAATGTGTATTAAGCTATTTGAAAAAAACATAAATTCCATTGAACTGAAACCCATGTGGGTCCTGTAGTACAGGAGCTTGTAGCTCTATTGCAGATACTCGGCACTTGGGCTACTGCAGTGATTGATAGCCATAGGAGTTTGTCATTCTTCGAACCAGCACTAGACCAGCACCTTGTCTTGACAGTCGGGAAACTCAGTCAAGAGAATCAGATTTCCTGTGCTTCCTTCCAGGTTCTAGAGGGTTTTGTGTTTTCATAGGCACAGCTTTCTGCCTCTCTTCCCCAAGTGTGATTCCAGCTACATAATCATCTGCAACTTTTTATTTTTAATTCTCTCCTAGTGATGCCTTCCAAATCACTAGATCTTGCTTATCCATTAACAAACTTATTTTACTCTTCTCATCCTAGCTTTCTTGTTCCATGCTTTCTTAGTTTGTGCCCTCTCATTGCTGTTCACTTTTTTTTCGTTTTCATCCACTTTTCGCTGTCATTAATTGTCCAACCAACATCATTAATATTCACGATTCTTCCTCTGATCTCTTTCCTTTGATCTCTTTCCCTTCATTACACGTTGGATAGCATCCCAGTCCTTATCTCCCTCTCATAATTCCACATCCTAATTTCTTCAGTTTCCTGTTATATTTGCATCTACATCCCAGTTCTGTTGATCTGTCCAATTTCTGTTCTTCATATAGTAGACCCATTTCCCCTTCCTCTTATCTGTTCTCCCCAAGCCACAGTTTGTGTCATGATTAGTGGGTTCTGGCTTTCTCCTAGTTCTCTCCTTATCTCCCAGTATCAACTCCTGGTTTCTAGTTTATTAATTTATACAGTCCTAATCTGTTTTCCTGCATGATACAGTTTTGTTGCCTATCTAGTGCTAATTACAGCTTCTATGCCTGCTTTCCCTTCTTCTCTATGTTTACCTGAGCTTTCCTTTTACCTGCTTCGCATCTGAGTTGGAAGGTTCTGTTTTCTGTGCTGCCTGCCAGGACAGTCACTGTGAACTCCACAGATGCAGGTTTCTTGCTCTTAGTTGCAAAACCAAGTGGGGAGTGGGAAAAGTCCGATTTTATGCTTGTAGCTATGAACTGGAAAGATGAACCTACTTAGTGGCTTGATGGAAAGGAAGCACATAGTACAGTGTGCACTGGGTTCATGAAATTCTCACAAGGTGAATTATTAACTGTTTCTTCTGAACATTTATGACTTGCAGTTTTTCAGCTTCCGATTAAGTAGATTTAAATAATTCCAAACTTAAGCATAGCAATGTATTTTTTCTATAAATGCTTTTAGAAAGAATTTTGGCTGTTTTGGTGTAAAGTGAGAGAAAATGGGTCAGAGGGCAGTTAGCTGGGTCTTGCTGTAAAGACTGGATCTGGACTCCAGTGGTTTGCAGACCAGTAAATGATGAAGGCTTGCATGCAATATGGCACATTGGTACTTAGGCACCATGAGACAAAAATAACTCACTGTCCAGTGTTTTATCCTCCACAGCCAACAACCAAACTCTTCATTGATGGGAAGTTTATTGAGTCCAAAACTACTGAATGGATTGATATCCACAACCCCGTAAGTGAAATGGTCTCAGTCTCTATAATTGTGAGCACTTTGCAACAAAGATCTGTGCCTCTCTTCAAGGATGTAGCGAAAGGGGAGAGTACATACATTTCTTGAGAAAGATTTAGGCTTGGAGTTTAAGATGGATTATTGTTTCTCAGTTTCCTTTTCCCATGAAATGTCAGTCTCATAAAAGTTACTACCTCCTTTACCTCCCCTGTGTAGTAAGCCCCTGATCTCCAGAAAGGAAGCTTAAACTCTGCTTACATATTTTTATTTCTTGTAGAAAGGCTTTGTGATCAATATGTCAAATTTCTGAAGGGTGTCTTTCACCCTATATGTGAAATCAGCTGGGTGTAATTTGATGCCAACTGACTGTGAAGTCCTGATAGAGATAGATATCACTCTCAGACCAAGGTGAAAAATCCTGATAACTGAAGCTCCTCTCCTTTCAGAGTTTCTGCCTCTGAATAATCACAGCCACAATAATCACAGAGAATTTAGAAGTTGGATGCTATGCAGTGCAAAATAATCTTGGACTAGTAGCACTTGTACTTGTCTAAGTACTACACCAAAGACAAATGGAAATGAGGTTGCACTCAGAATTCTGACCTTTCTGACCCCTCTAGTAAGCATTTGGACAGCAGTTTCTAAATTTTTTCTCAGTAAAGCTCTATTTTGATTTGCTTTGTGGAAGTGATCAGAGCAGCAAGCGATGTTCCTGTATCTCATTTGGTCTCTATGTGGCAACCAATGTTCTTATTTAATTTTCTTTCTCTTGTTTGGAGTAGTTTTTCTCTTAGTGATATACCTGAAGTTTTTGTCATGTCAAAGCAGATTTAGTTTTTAAGAGAAAATTAGATGGAGGTTAAACTACTAATGTCAAGCTTTTAAAGTTAAAGTACTGTAGAACTAAGGTTGCTTGTAAAAATATTACTTTGGCTAAGGGGTGTAGGTAAACTAACATCAATACCAATTACACAGTTATGTACTGCTTTTCCCAAAGGAACAGTGCCTCATTTAATGTGCAAGAGACACAGCAGGTGAGCCAAGGTGATGCAGAGGGTTAAGACCACAGTTTACAGAAACTTTTACCTTATACTCTCTAGAAGCTTCAAGGTAGACAAGTCACTTCAACTTGGAAATGAACACTGCATTTGCAGTTTTCTGGGTGCCTAATTTGAGATGCAGGTTTTCAGAACTACTCCAGTTGTAGCCCAGGCCTTGTGTATGCACCAAGGAAAGAGTCTCTTTTGTGCTCTCCCATCAGAAGTACAGCTCCTTCTAGAAGAAGGATAGTAGGTGTGTGCTGGGAAATGACTGGTGAATGGTTGGCAGGGACAGATGGGAAAAGTTGAATTTTGATGCAATTTGGTTTTTCTTTCAGGCCACAAATGAAGTGGTGGGCCGTGTACCAAAAGCCACAGCAAATGAGATGGAAGCAGCTGTGGCTTCTTGCAAAAAGGCTTTTTGGAGCTGGTCAGAAACATCTGTTTTGAGCCGTCAGCAAATCTTTCTGCGTTATCAACAACTGATCAAAGACAATCTGGTGAGACACCATGGCTGTGTGTGATGGCTGTCCCTGAATGCATTGCAGCTGACTTTAGGAATTAAATTGAAAGACTTGGGATTTACAGAGTTCTTGCCATGATTGAGGAGCCAACTGAGACACTGGCAAGAGGTGCATCAAATGGGGACAGAGAGGCAATGCTTTTTACTGAATATTATCCTGCATTTGTCCCTTTACCAAGAGACCAAAAATGGAGAATGTGCCAGTTGATGAAGACAAGTATGTTAGTGTGTCTTTGGGTTTCCCCGATTGCTTTTTTGGTGTGTCTGTGGTGTGATACCTGAAAGCATTAGAGTACAAGCCAACCCATGGTTGATTCTTTTTTTAAATGTCACCTGTGTGGGTCATTGGCTTCTTGTCTACAAGGAGCAAATCAGTCAGTATAGGTTTCTCTGTGTTCTG